CGTCAAAACACAATTGTCTAGAGAGACTGAGGTTTGTCCACTTTAAGGGTGGTTAACAGGGTAGACCCTTATCACTGAATATCTTCTAAGATTGTTTTGTCGAAGCATGTTTCAGTCCTCATTGCCATGTATTTGAGTCATTTCATGCTTGCTTCTGCAATTGGCAAAAAATTATATCTTCTCTTTTATTGCATTGATTATTTTATCCATTTTATTGCATATGTAATCTTGGGAGAAAGTTTTGTAATGAATTTGTCTCCAAAAATTAGTTATGCGGAGCACCTCGGATTTATAAGAAAGACGTACGCTGTTCAGGAGAAGTATACGAAAACCCTTTTCTGAACTATTTCAGGGATACCCCTGATGACCAATGGGTCCGCACAACTGATTTTACTCCACCACGCGCTATTGGGCAGTCTTTTACATTATGTTTGGAGCTTCCTTATGGTCTCAAACTTCCAGATTTTCAAGAAAACTTTCCTGAGTATAAGGAGAGTATAGGGGAATACATCTTGGAGAGTGGTTCCTCTTATTCTTGCAACCCTGATCTCGGCGCCATGGTTTGCCCTCCTCCAGGTGTCGATGTGCCATATGATATCTTGTTTAAAGTAAACTCTCTGGTTCAGCATGGGTATCTTCCAGGGCCAGCACTTGATGTTACTTTTTTTAGGTTGCTTGATCCACGCAGGATGAACATGAACCTTGCCTGTATAGAGTTTGCCCTAGAGAAATTGTTTCATTTAAAAGAGAGCTGCTCTGAACCTTCAGTGTGGCTTAAAGAGCAGTATAGGAAGTACCTCACATCAAAGAAACCTCCACTGTCACCCATCATGTCCTTAGATTCTGGGTTGGTATATGTACGCAGGGTGCAAATCACATCATGTCAAGTATATTGTTGTGGTCCAGAGGTCAACGTCTCAAATCGTGTACTACGCAATTATCCAGGTGATATTGACAACTTCATTCGTGTTTCATTTGTTGATGAGGAGCTGGATAAACTTTTTGCATCAGATTTATCTCCGCGTACGTCCAATGCAAACGGGGAGAACAAAACTGACATCTACAAAAGGATTCTTTCTATTCTCAGAAACGGCATAGTAATTGGTGAAAAGAAATTTGAATTTCTTGCATTCTCGTCAAGTCAACTGCGGGAGAATTCAATGTGGATGTTTGCTTCAAGACGGGGACTTACTGCTGCTGATATAAGAGAGTGGATGGGGAATTTTTGTGATATAAGAAATGTGGCAAAATATGCTGCCAGATTGGGTCAATCCTTTGGTTCTTCTACCGAAACTCTAAATGTTGGCGAACATGAAATTGAAGTTATTCCTGATGTAGTCAGTTGTGATAATAAATATGTCTTCTCTGATGGGATTGGGAAAATTTCTGCTGATTTTGCTAAGAAAGTGGCCGTGAAATGTGGCTTTAAAGGGTGCACTCCATCTGCCTTTCAGATTCGATATGGTGGGTACAAAGGTGTGGTGGCTGTTGATCGGACTTCATATAAGAAATTATCATTGAGGAGAAGTATGCAGAAGTATGAATCAGAACATACAAAGTTGGATGTTTTAGCATGTAGCAAGTTTCAGCCTTGTTTCCTGAACCGCCAGTTGATAACTCTTTTATCTACCCTTGGGATTCAGAATCGTGTCTTCTTGGAAAAACAAAGGGCAGCTGTACAACAATTGGATGCTATGTTGACTGACCCATTAAAAGCACAGGAGGCTCTGGATATGATGTATGCAGGAGAGAGTACAAACATCCTTAAGGAATTGCTCATGTGTGGTTATAAACCTGATGTTGAACCATTTATTTCAATGATGCTGCAAACATTCCGGGCATCAAAGTTGTTAGAGTTGCGGACCAAAACAAGAATCCTTATTCCAGATGGAAGGGCAATGATGGGATGTCTAGATGAAACTAGAACATTGGAATATGGTGAGGTGTTTGTGCAATTCTCTGGTAAAAGACATATTGGAAGTGAATCGAACCAGCAATTCATTATTGAGGGAAAGGTAGTTGTTGCGAAGAACCCTTGTTTACACCCTGGCGATGTCCGTGTTTTGAAGGCTGTGGATGTGCCGGAGTTGTATCATATGGTGGATTGTGTTGTTTTTCCACAAAAGGGCCCAAGGTAAGAACATCTGGTTTGTACAAATATTCATTTCAAAATTTGCTAGAATTTTTTAAGTTGCTTACAGAGTGCTACTTTTCCTTGATTTCACTGCTTAATTAATTACAAAGATCTTGGCATGAACATGACTTAATGATTGAAATCTTGTTTATAATGGTAGGCCTCATCCAAATGAATGTTCTGGAAGTGATCTTGATGGGGATATCTACTTTGTCTGTTGGGATGATGAATTGATTCCTTCTGGGCAAATCCAACCAATGGATTATACCCCGGCACCACCTATAGAATTGGATCATGATGTCACAATTGAGGTAATACTCTTGAACATGATGCTATTTTCACCATTGATTTATTATCACTTAGTTGTTGCTTTGAAATTGGTTGGGATAAATTATTTAACTTTCTTATTCAATCTATTTGTCACCGCTTCTAGTGGTGCTTTTCGAGTATTGAGTTGTATCTTGATGATAATTGTGATGGTTTTTTGGTTTGTCTGCCTTTGATGTTTGCTTAAAAGGGAAACTCATTTTGAATTTATTGTGAGGTTGGCGTTCTAGGTAAGCCAAACTTATATGACGTATATAATGAATAATGAAACCACATTCGAAGAGGATTTTACACGCAGATGAAAAACTAGCTGAGACATAAATGGCTATTCAGCATCACACTGATTAGGAAAGGATACTCCTTGAAGGAACCCCTCAAAGCATTGAACTAATGGCTTGAATTTCCATGCATCTCCTGATGTATATGCACTTCTGTGATTCAGCTCATTGTTGATTTTCTTTTGGTGCAGGAAGTTGAGGAATATTTTGTGAACTACATGGTCAATGATAGCTTGGGCATAATTGCCAATGCCCACACTGCTTTTGCAGACAGAGAGCCTTCAAAAGCAATGAGCAAGCCGTGTATAGAGCTTGCAAAGCTATTTTCAATTGCTGTTGACTTTCCAAAAACTGGTGTGCCAGCTATAATACCTCAACATCTTCGTGTGAAGGAGTTTCCAGATTTCATGGAAAAGCCTGATAAACCCACCTATCAATCATGCAATGTGATTGGAGAACTTTTTCGTGAGGTGAAAGATGTTGAGCCCCATGGTGGCTCCATCCGATCCTTCAGTCGTGAAGTGGCGAGACAGTCCTACGACCATGACATGGAAGTCGATGGCTTTGAGGATTACATTGAAGATGCCCTCTATTATAAAAGCAATTATGATTCCATATTGGGAAATCTGTTGGACTATTATGGGATCAAGACAGAGGCTGAAATACTCAGTGGCAGTGTCATGAAAATGTCAAAATCTTTCACCAAGAAGAGGGATATGGATCCTATAAACATGGCGGTGAGGTCCTTAAGAAAGGATGCTCGGACATGGTTCAATGAGAAGGCAACTGGTTTAAATTCTGGAGCTGATGATGTATATGCAAAAGCTTCAGCCTGGTATCATGTCACATATCATCCCAAGTATTTTGGTTGCTACAATGAGGGATTGAATCGTGACCATTTTATCAGCTTCCCATGGTGCGTTTATGATAAGCTGGTCCATATCAAAAAGGAAAAGGCAAGTGTGAGAAGGGCTCTAAACCTCTCATCTCTGGAGAGTCGGTTTAGGAATGGCTTGCATTTGAACTGAGGAAAATCAAACTACTTGATATTTGTGTTGTCGGTGATGGTGGTGGTGTAAGTTCAACAAGGATAAAATCTGAGGTAAATTATGTGTGCTTTTATGTATGCTGGTGATAAAAACTTGGAAGTACATTAGCTTATTGTATAATAGATTGATGTTTGGTTTCTTGTTTCTGATTCAAAAGTGGGTTTGAAAGCTCGCGTTACTTTTCATGACGACATTAAGATAGATTTTAGTTTGGACGAGGCCCTGCCCGCTTGTTGCCATTCTTTGCTTAGCTTGCCCCAACGAATATGGGTGTAATTTTAATTAACATATGGAAAAAGTTTACCTCCTTAAAACAAATGGAGTAAAAAATAGAGAACCCAATTAAATTTAAATTTAAAATTTCCGAAATTTCTGAAATTTTTTTAAAAAAATGGGTTTTGTCAAGTGTCAAAATCACATTTGTTTTGAGTAGCTTTTCCTTAGTTTTAAGAAGCCAAACTTTGTTTCCCTGACGTTGGACAATTCATTCTTATTGGCTTCAATGCCAAATACATAATAATTTATAATATATATTAACCATCAAGTACCAATCATTCTTAACATACAATACAAGTACGATAAAACTTGTCCAACGTATGATGAAATCCGATCTTTTCTTGAATATTAAGACTGGAGTCGGTAGGTTTGGGTTGGAATCATTTACGCTTAAGAACAGCAAACAACTGAACTTTCTCCTGGCATGTGGAGTTGATGAGGTCGGAAATGTCTAGAAGTTTATGGGTCAATCTTCCGAACAATTCATCCATGACCTGACTTCCAAAGTGTCTGGAAAACATTCCCTCCATCGCCGCCCTTACATGCGTCACCAGAGATGGTATGTCAACGGGACCTTTCATCCATGCTGCTGGGTTTGTCAGCTCCATTCTCTCTATCCCGAAACACCCATTTTTCTCCACTATCCCAGCCATCTCCTCTGGGGAGGCTGCATAAAATGCCAAGTTGAACGAGTCCACTTCACCTTCTTCAATTATTCCCTGCAAATTAATTAATTTCAGTACTCATTTATTTAATTATTCTTTTATTTAATTTAAGTTGTACGTAAGAGCTAGTAATTAATGAGAATTAATGTTACCTCTTTGGCCATATCCATGAGGCTAGACGATATAGAATCGTACAACATACCCGTTGGAATTTGAGAATAAGGCATCCCTTTGGGAATGCCAGTCATGATCATCACCATCATTCCTTGAGGCACAAGTTCTTTAGCCCTCGCATTCAAAAACCTCTCCATGTCCTCCGCAAACTGGCAAGCATAAGCCTCAATTACTTCATTTGGGGCGCTCGTGTAGTGGATCCTCCCTTTGTTCCACGCCGGAGAGGCTTTGTTCTGCAGCTCTTCTGGCAACTTGGAGAGCCAGTGGAGAGAAAATGAGGTGTGCACAAAGTGAATAGACGACTCGGGAAATAAACGGCCGTGGAAGGAACCCGGCACTCCTGCTGCCAAGTATTGCCGGTCTTGTGGGAGAGAGGTGAAGAGGGTATTGAAGTCATTTGACTCTAGGTCGTTAAAGAAGACTTGAAACTCAGGCATTTGATCATCAGAATCATGCGGGCATGATTGGGATATTTGGGATTTGTATTTGCGTTGCATAGCTTCTAGTATAGTTTGAATAGTCCTGAAAGTGTTTTGTCCAGTGGCACATCCCAAGTCTGCAAGACGAATGGTGTTTGAAACAGAAGAGTGTGTTTTCATATCAAGCTTCTCTCTTATTTCCTCAATGATTTTTTCTCTCTCAACTCCAGCAGATTGTTTCTGCAACATTAGTGGTTCAAATAAGCTCTAATTAAGTCATATGTTACCACATTAAATTAGATCCGAAAGTCAATTCCTAGTTTAGCTTTCTTAATTTATCCATGCAGTGAGGGACACTCTTTAGATCTGATTAACTGTCTATTTTTCAAGTCTTCATTTATAGATCATCCTTTCAAAAAATCAGACAAATTAAAAATCATTAAGGCATTTAATTGAGACTAATAAAATTAATGAACACGGTGTTTCAAGAAAGTACTTAAATTTCAATAATTTAATTGAATGATCAAATGATATCGGATTCAAGTTTTATTTATTTATTATTATTATTATTATTAGAGATGATCTTTGAATGAATATCTACAAAATAGACAGTTTAGATTAATGAAATACGAGGCGGAGTGGGTCATACAAAAGTATCCCTTAGATATGCTTATTTCAGAGATCGCTCAACGGAAGCTCTATGTGTACATATATATGTGCATTTTGCTTATTTGAAACATCAAAATTGGAATTGGCTATTGGAACAAAATGTATTCTGAACTCAATCAGTTCATTGCATGTTTGAGTGGTGGTTAAATTTGATAAGATAATTAAATGTTCTTTAGTTTTGGGGACATATAATAATGTTGGAATCGTACGTACATGGGGAAAGGAAGCTCAGGGCTTAAACCCAACTAAAGCAAGGCATATGCAATTCCAAAAGCATAGGTTAACAAAGGCTCTTATATATTGGCATAGAATTTACAAATATATATATATATATATAATTAAGCTTCCTCTTTGTTATTTGTCCATCCAGCCAGGGACGGACCCACAGTGGGGTCAATGGGGTCAAACGACCCTATGGACTCCAAGCAAGTAAGGTAGAAGGTCCCTTTGAATTGGGGTGTGACCCCATGAAAGGTTGAAGAAGGAGTTGCAGGTACTGAGGAAGAAGAAGATGAACAGAAATCTGTTTTTTTTTTTTCAAAAGAAGCTGGCCAAAAACGCGGTGGTTTTGTCCCGGTTT